TGAAGGCCGGTGATGGGGAACCTGAGAGAACTTTGGTTGACTCATAGAGTCGTTTATAAACTGCCCCAGTACACTTAGCTGCTTCTGCTCCTTCCCGTCTCCTCCTCTAATTTAAGTTCGTCAGGCGGTAGGAGAGTTGTCTCTCCCTGAGGATATTCAAGGAAGGCCCGAGGACCACTTGGCGGCTTTGCTGCAGAATGGGAAGGGGGACAGGAAGGGACCTTTCTGAGGGGAAATCTGTGCTAAACCAGTGCTCCAATGTTCCATCTGCTTAGGTATGCCATCCTGACCACATGATTCAGTGCGTATTATATAGGGAATTATTTAAATCATTGCATAGATGGAGAAACTGTTGCCATTAGCTAGCGCCGGATGATTTGGAATTAAAATTCAGATGGCCTTGCAGGTCCCGCGTGGCATTAAGCTCCTATAGATTTCACTGGGGTGGGGCTAGCTGTAAAATGTGTGGGATGCTTTTCCAAATGAAAACGTGGGGCCTCTTGTTTAAAAAGCAGGGAACATAGACTGTCAAAGATTCTAAAATACAAAATGCTTTCCTTTGGTTCCACGATCCCTTTCCCTCTCCTCTGTCTTGAGCTGGTGCGGTGTTTTCATGTGCGCTCTGATGTCGTGTTCCCTTGGGTATGGGGACCCTCCCAGAGTAGGAGCAGACTCACAGGCCCCGGGGGCCCTGCCCTCTAGCCTGGGACTGTGTAGCTGGGTGCCCCCTGCCTCCAGCCACCAGACTGATGCCACGTTGAGCCTGGTATCTCCCTTCCCATGGGACTGCCACAACAACCCATAAAATTGCAAACTCTGCAGCGTGCTTGGTACCTGGATCAAGAGTGGCCAAGAGTTGCCCTCCAAATGCATTCTGACACACTTCACTGGTGTGTGCCTGACCCTGACTCTCCCAGGTGAGGCTGGGGGCACCAGAGGGGCAGGGCTAGGGGGCTGAGGACCAATCTTCGGAAGGCCCGCGGGTAACAAGAGATTCAATAGCTCACGAGCCAAGGGTTTGTGCCCCCTGCACACGTCTCATTTGTCCCATCAGACTTCCCTTCTACAGCCTAAATTCAAAGATGAAATTATTAAGGATTTCAAGATGGTGACTGTAGAGCATTAATCTCAAATATGAGGCTTTGCTGAGCACAGGGACTCTGTGTAACTGCCCTGGGCACACGTCCCTGCAGCGGGCCCCGGGCTCTGGAGAACCAAAGAACTGGACGGAAAGATTCCTGGACAGGAGGTGTTTACTTTGGGAGAAGATAATATACAATGAGCTATTATTACATTATTGGAACAGATAACAAGTCAGTATACAATGCTTATAAAAGTAGCTTGTGATTAACTGCTATAATTAGGCTTTCTGTTCACTGACTTTGTAAGGTGATAACTACTTAGATTTCCTCTTTTTTTTTTTTTCCCTCTTGTCCGTTCCCCCAAATCTGATTCAGCCGGGAGGTGTAGCCAGGACTGAGGAGAGGGGGACACCACTCACTTGATGTCATTCTGGAATCTCCCATGTGCAAGATTTTCCCTGAGAGGCAGGCCCACAAGAGAGAGCACGGGACGAGGCACGGAATCAGCCTGATGGTCTGATCCAAAGCGTTGCAGGAAAATCGATTTGAATAAACCAAAAAAAAAAAAAAAGTGGGTCAGAAATGGAGAGGCAGGAGCCAATGAGGATGTGAGTGTGGATAAGTTGGCAAAGGTTGAGCCCAAGTACCTGACCACCTGGCGATGGAGTAGGAGCTGGGATTGGAATTACAGAGGACTTGAGGGAGAACTCCCATTCCAACGGGGGAAATGAGTTCTTGGAGAAGGCAGAGGAAAAAGCTCCATCCCTCCAAGGCTAAGGGGGTGGATCAGGGCTGCACAAGCCATTAAATACCTACCCTGCTGCTTTGGCGCCCTGTGCCCGGGGAGCTAGCCGGCCGCATCCCCGGCTGGGTGTCGATGGGCTGCGGTCAGCTCTCCCCGCACCGTGCCTCCCAAAGCTTTGATGAGGTAAGGGTAAGGTCACAGCCCAGGCCAGAGCAATTTGCTGTGACGCTTCCCGCCCCCCCCCCCCCCCCCCCCCCCCCCCCCCCCCGCGCCAAATGCAGAAACATTTGCCGAGTCGCTCAAGTTCCTCCGCCAGGCAGGGGGCTGGTGACCCAAAGCAGATGACAGCAGGGGATAGCTGCAACCAGCCCTTGGAAGCGGTCGTCAGCTCTTTTTGGTCAACAGCCTTTATGGAGGGCTCTGCTGCTCGGGTGTGCTGGAGCAGAGGTGTGGGGGGAGGCTGCGGCTTCCTCTTGGCCGGATCCCTGCACTGTGGTGACGAGACCGAAGCAGAGTTGCTGGTAGGGGCTGCTCCGTGGGCTTTTCCCTTCGTGCCTGAACTCCTTGTGCTTCTAAAGCAAGAAGCTCCCAGACGCGGGTCTGTGTTATCAGACCCTGACATGGAGCTCGCCGATGGGTTCGAGGCGCCAGAGGGGAGGAGGGCTGCTGGCCAGTGTGTAGGGAGCACAGCCCAGTGGCACTTGAGCGTCAAGCTCCTCCTGTAAATATTTGCAGACGCCCCTTCCAAGCTCAAAAGCCTGGGACAGGATCATTGGACGATTTGCTTAGAAGAGGAGGAAACAAAATTGACCTCGTGGTCAGAAGCAGCCATAAAAAGAAAGAGTGAGTTTGGGCAGAAGACCAGAAAAGGGGAAAAAAAAAAAATCACTCAAAGTTTCATAAACACAAAAGAGAATAAAAATAAATCTCAAGAGCACTTATTTACAAACTCGAGGGAAGGATGAGATTGGGTGGGTGGGTGTGAAAGATGGGTGTTTGGGGAAGGAGAACCGGCCTGTGGGGGTTCTGCTGGATGAAGAGCGGCAAACAGCTCACGAGATGTTTACTCGGCCTAATGACAGGAAATGCACTGAATCAGCTTTGCTCTTGCAGGATGCTCTCTCAGAGCATGTCTGAAGCTTCTGCTGTCTAATGGGGAGGCCATGTGAAGATGAATGCAGCCACTAGGCCTTGTGGAAGGTTCTGGCCAAACTCTAGGATGTAGGAAGCCAGAGAGCCTGGCTCGAGTCTTGCCCCAGCTTCTCTGCCTGGGCATCTGGCCTGTTGGCCGCTGAGCTGGTCAGGCCAGGACCAGCGTGTCCAATCACCTGGGCTGGGCATGTTCCCGAGGAGAGAAAGATCAATTTCTTCCCAGCAGCGACCTTTTTCGATCACAGTGCTCAGGGGGCTCTGGGAAACCTGGCTACTTGTAGGCATGTTTGTCTGCCTGAAAACCGTCCACCGGCTCATGCACAGTCGTAATGCACTGGGCCATCACTGTGTCTGCATGAATACTTTCTTTTCTCTGACACCTGGATGCTTTAGATTTTTGGGGGTTTTTATTTTGTTTGTTTGTTTCGGAGACGCCTGGCTCACGAGCTACAAAGCTTCCATTCACACAGTCAGTCGGTCGGTCGTTTGCAAGGCGGTCACCCTGGGTGCGGAGCGTGGCTGGGAGGAACTCACCGCTTCCTCAGAAGCAGCCTTCTGAGAGTCACAGGACAAAGGGGTGGGATGGGGGTAAGCCCCCTTGAGGGAAAAGACTGCCGAGCTCTTAAGATCAGCAAATGGTGTGTTCCTAGCATTTTTTTTTTTTCAGTCTCATTGTCAGGGCACGGGCTTCCCCAAAAATCACGAAAGGTATTTATTTCTATTTTAAGATCGGCAACATGGCTTGTTTATTTAATAAGAAGTTAGTCTTGCCAATAGCCAGATGGCCGAGTCTTTCAAGCCTCCCGTTGATGACCAACTATGCAAACAGTGGATCCTTGGTGAATTCCATGTGTGCAGGGCCCTGTCCTAGGGATGGGGGGGGGGGGGGCAGGGCGAAGGAAGACCTGGCAAATCTGGTCTCTGCCCTCAAGATTCTTAAAATTTCACGGGGGAAAACAAAATAAACAAACATAATGCAGAAGTAATAAAAACACTTGTAAAAAGCCATAAACAACTGTGAATGATTATGTTGTAATGAAGCTACATAGCTGAGAAGAGGGTAGAAAGTACTGGAGCTACCCGATTTGGACAGAGCATTCCAGAATAATGAAAGAAGGTCTGCAGAAGATGTGGGAGGAGAATTGTAGAAACATCTGGAACAAGTGGCCTGCCCAGTGTACATGCTCAATAAACGGGTGCCGCATATGAAGCATGTGGCTGGGATTAGGACCTGCTTTGGTTTTGTTGGTGCTCAGGTGTTTATTCAAAGGTGGTGGCATATTACTGCAAAATAACAGCAAACCTCTAGCAACCCATGACCTTGAAATTGTTGTGTACTATCTGTCTCTTTGTGTTTTCCGGGGCTTCGAACTGAGGGAGTTGGGGCTGACTCTTTCTCGTCATTAGCCAGGATAACCAGTATGTGGGTATAGTTTTTTGTTTTTTTTTTTAATCCAGATTTTCTCACCCTAACTTCACTAGAGGGTGTATTTGGTCATAGGTGTATGAAAAACCAAACTATTGAAGCCAAAAAAGATGCAATACATGAACCTGGATAGAGTAGAGTATTCTGATGCCAAAACTTCAAGGAAAAAAAGTACATGGGCAAACTGCTTGCCATTAGGAGCTATTTTCTTGGCACATCTGATTAAAGTGTATGCAAGCCTGACAGCTCTCTCTAGGCATCAACTGTCACGAACTTGTTCCAATTCATAACCGTCTAGGATTTTCCACTGCTTTGTCAACTTTCAAAGGATAGGGTTAACTGCATGCCCTCAAATGGAGTTGGAAGTGGTTTGTTAATCTCTATTAATCTGCGACTCCTGTAACCAAATGCACATGTTTATTTATTGTCCCCCCCCTCTGGTTAAATTGTTAATGGTATTAAATTGGCCCTTGGAAACGAAATCATTCTGTAGATATTTCCCTGATGTTTTCTTGAGACGATCTCATGCCTCACGGTCTTTTTTGAGAGAACAATGGGTTTTATCATTTTCAATGATTACCCTAACTTTTTACAGATGCCATCCCGCCCACTTTCTACAGACCGTACTTCAGAATTGTCCGATTTGACGTCTCGGCGATGGAGAAGAATGCATCCAATTTGGTGAAAGCAGAGTTCAGAGTCTTTCGTTTGCAGAACCCAAAAGCCAGAGTGCCCGAACAGCGGATCGAACTGTATCAGGTAACTTTTGTGTGGTTGTTTTGGTGGACAGTCAGTTTGAAGTCTAAGAGTAAAATACTTTCTGCCATTATCAATTTTCTGAGCTGATAGAAACCATGCTGTCCGTTCACAATCGTGAGAGGGGCTCTCATTTGTCATTACTCTGCCCTCGGTAGCTCATTCCTCAATCAGGAAGGAAGGAAGAAGCTTTAGAAGGAAGTGGGGAAGCTCTGAGCACATTTCTCCGGTGGCGTAAATGGCTGGAGTACCCACCCTTGGGAGGGATGGCACCCAGAAGTCCTCCCCCTCAATCTGGAAAGTCAGACAATGTGGGCTTTCCTATTGTCTTCTCTCGCCCCGTAGTTTTCACTCCTTTTTCGTCCTCTCTTTGCTATCTCCTGCCTCTTCGCTAACCTCATTCTCTCTCCTTTCCTTTTTCTGGTTCTACCTGCTCTGTCCAGCTTCCCTCACCCCCATTCCCTGTCTGCCCCCGCCCTGCATTACTTCAGGCAGCCTTGACGTCTCTTTCATCTTCCTAAGTACAGTTGCTGGCAGCCTGGTTAAAAGATGATGATGATGATGATGATGATGATGAAGTGCCAAGTCACTGACATTTCAGAAAGGTTCTTAAAAGCTTCTCAAGTGGATTACAGGGCAGTAGATCCACATTATCGAGAAGCTTCAGGAGCTGCAGCATCTCAGGCTCCATCCCAGACTCACTGAATCAGAACTCACAAAGTGTAGAGCAGAATCTACATTTTTCAAAAGACCTTTGGGCGATTCGTACACACTTTGAGGCACTGCTCTGAAAGCCCTGAGTCTGAGGAGGGAGGCAGAACTGTGCATGAGTGACTTACGTGTGTCTTCGCGTCATAGGAACGGTGCGTGTAGAGAGCAGAGTTGAAGAGATTTCACCAGGGAGTTGACATCTGAGCAAGGCCTTAAGAAGCGTCTGTTAAAACAGGATGAGGGATGATCATTCTTGACAGAGGAGCAACCCTTGCAAAAACAGAGCCTTGGGGTGCCTGGGTGGCTCAGTGGGTTAAGCCTCTGCCTTCAGCTCAGGTCATGATCCCAGGGTCCTGGGATCAAATCCCACATCAGACTCCCTGTGGGGCAGGGAGGCTGCTTCTTCCTCTGCCCCTCCCCCTGGCTCATGCTCTCTCTCCTCTCTCTTTCTCTCTCTCTCTCTCTCTCACAAAAATAAATAAATAAAATCTTAAAAACAAAAACAAAAAACCAGAACCTTGAAGGGGCTTGTTGAGGGCACCACATAGATGGTGCTCAGGAGACACTGGCGGTGAGGGGAGACTGGGAGAAGCTTGCCCTCCAGGGAGAGTGTATGGAGGGAAACTAAAAAGTGTCAAGAAAACACCAAGAGAACCACAATGCTAAGGAGGAGGCATGGGCGACTATATGAATAAAAAGGGGGCTTACTTGAGGAAAAGAAAGGAATTGACATCTGTTTGCAGAAACTTCTGGTTGTTCTGGATTCTAAACATTTGGAAACGTTGACAATTTGGATGAGAATTTTCTTTGTATTTTTTATGAGAATGGGGGATTACCATACTCATAGATGTTGTATATGAGATTACAGAGAATAAGTTTTAAAAGTTATAAAAAGAGAAAAGAGTCTTCCAGTTTACTTGTGTGTTCATGAAAAAATAATTCTTACTTATTAAAATGAATCCCCAAGGACCTCTTCTTGGAGGACCTCAGATCCCAATGCATGTTCCGAGAGCACCGTGAGGGCATCCATTGCTCTCGGCCACCTAGAGTAGCGCCTGCGTCAGCTTCCTGGGTACCAGAGACTTCGTTAGGCATGTTATAAGTATTGTCTCCATTAATACTCACAACTATCCTGTGAGGCTGGCATGATGAGGTATTCTTTTCTTTTCCAAAAATGACTGAAATATAATTGCAATATGACATGATATTAGTTTAAGGTGTACAACATAGTGATTTGAGGTATGTAGATATTGCAAAATGTTTACCATGATAAGTTCAGTTAACATCCATCACTTCACATACTTAGGCATCCCCCCCCACCCCCCGCCGGGGTGAGAACTTTTAAGATGTACTCTCTGAGCAACTTTCAAATATACGCTACAGCATTGTTATAGCTACGGTCCCCATGCTGTACATCATACCCCCAGGACTTATCTGTCTCACTACTGGAAGTTTGTACCTTTTTGACCGCATTCACCCATTGAAGGTATTCTTTCTACTACTGTGTTCTTCCTCCTTTTCACAGAGCAAGACGCTGCGTCAAAGAGAAAGTAAGTCACTGGGCCAGGATCACACAGCTAGGAAGTGGCAGGGTGGTCATACCAATCCAGTTGTGACTCCCAGGTGCTCGCTCCTCACCACACCACATCCTGTGCTTTCCCTTCCTCTTTGCCTCAGTACCAGCCAGAATGGAAGAAAAATAAGAGGAACTAGGCCAGTCAGAGGGTGGTTTGATATCTGGAGGGAAAGCAAAAACTGGGTTCTCTGAAAAAGAAGCTAGATCAAAGGTAGCCAGATATATAATTCAAGGTAATTAAAAAAAAAAGAATAAAAACAAAAACATCATTCCGTGGGCGCCTGGGTGGCTCAGTTGGTTAAGCCACTGCCTTCGGCTCAGGTCATGATCCTGGAGTCCTGGGATCGAGTCCCACATCGGGCTCCCTCCTCCCTCTTATGCCTTCTGTCTCTCATTCTCTCACGCACGAATAAGTAAAATCTTAAAAAACAAACAAAACGAACAAACAAAAAAAAACATGATTCCGTGTTCTCTCTTTTCTTCTTTTTCAATTAAGTTGCTTTTATATGTCTCTGTATATGGATGATAGGAGCATCATGGATTGTTCTCCCTGGCTCCTTTTCAACTGCCTGACTTCAGTAAATTGAAGACAAGATTTCTTATGTCTCGTTGCCTCTAAGATAAGCTGCCAAGTCACTGTTATTCTTAGGCCCCTGACCCCGTGCTCCAAGGGGTGGCCTCTGATGATAGCAGAGTTACTGATCACTTGCCTTACTCTCGGAGACCCTCTCATCGCCCGGAAAGGATGTGTCCCTCGAGGCTGGTAATTTAGAGGACGTTTAGTGACTTCTTCCTTACTGACTTCTTAGTGGCTGTGTACCTTCTCCGAGGTTATTGCCGCACCGGCTCTCCCATCGCTGGGGCAGCCAGATCCTCACAGATTTGGAGTCTCCAGTTGGAAAAGGTACAGCCTATGATGGAAGCATATTGTATGAGGAGGGTGAGCGTGGGCTGATTCACTGTCACTGAACACAGGAACCTGGAGGAAGATACTTTTAGAGGGAAAGTAAGGAAGGCAACAACTCCTTATCAGTCTGGAGCTCAGTGAGGCAACAGTCTCACCTTCTGAAACACGACTAGGAAGGAAGTCAGAGACCCCTGACCACCCTCACAGAAGACACAAAGCGCACCCCCAGCTGAGTTAGCAGAAAAGCAGCCTTTGGCCCTTTATTCACGTGTGACCAGGTTGGTCATCTCTAGGACCACGAGAAATTAGAAGCGCTGAATTAGAAGGGGAGGGCTGGAGGTAGACGCTTTGACAGAAGCAGATGATGCGTTAGACTCGAGGTTTTTGCCCATGCACCTTGGTGATGCTAGCCAGGAAAATCAGGTCACAGAGTGAACACAATGCTTGTTGTAGATGCTTTTTCTAAATCTTACCCTATTTATAGCTAACCCAGCCCTGATAGCTATGGCATCCCTCCTGGTTCCTGACGTCTGCCATGGTGTCTTTATTTGGAGTCCCATTTTTGGCTTGTTCTCTGACTTTCCACTTGCCTTCAGCAGCCATTTGGTGGTCTTTGCAGCCTTCAGGAATCAACTCCTTCTTCTAGCCCCAGTACGGAAATTGGTGCTTATGATAAGAGCCTTGAATTATGAAGGTGAGGTTGAATTATATTCAGGAAACTGAATACATGCAATAAAATTTCAGAGAGTTTCATGTCCAAAATTGCTGAAATCTTATTTTGGGGGAAAAAAAGGCCTGGTGCTTCAGTGGGGAGATCTTTAGCTATTTGGAGAGCTCCACTATTCAGAAGAACAGAAGAACAAAGCCTCTGAAGTTTCTAGATGCTCTTTGATTACTGTATCACTTGACACGCCATTGACATTCTACTCCCTAGAAGAACGGTAGGATGACTATGAATAGGTTCTCAGGCTGTTCAGATGGCTGAATGGGTAACTTATCAGAATTCCTCAGGGCATTTGTTTTAAGCAGGGGGAGAATGTGTGTGTGTATATGTGAGTGCACACGCAAGTTCATATGTGGGTACCAGGGCTCCCCCAAGTATGAAAGCCCCGTGGGAACTTTTATAAGGACTGCCCCCAGTACCTCTCTCTAGATTCCGATTCTCCCTAGAGAAAAAAAGAACTGCTTCTGGACAGGTGTAGTTTGCAGAGGCTCTCAGATCTTTGGATATGATCATTCTTCATTCTCCATTGGGAATCACCGATTTCAGGCAGAGTTTGGGGGTCATTCTGTCCCATAGGATGTATATAGGTACTCTTTCTTGAGTCAGAATACCAGGCTGGAAGGGCCTAAGATAGCTTTTCTGTGAGTGAGTTCAAAGTTTATCTTGTCCAGGGCTGTGCATCTGTTGATTCTCCTTGCCTGGGTGCATTAAAATGCCCAGGCTTCCATGGAAGTCACATTTAGCTTGGCGAGGAAACTCGGGAGTTCTCCCTGCTCTCCCCTTTCTCCAGAATAGTCTGTCAGAACTTCAATGAATGGTGGTAAAATAAAGCCTTACTGTCCTTTTGTGATGTTGACAGACTCTAAATAACGTATACTAATGTGATCATGGAATGACTTCAAATATACACCAATACTGGAGGGAATATGAGAGGGATAAAGCCCTTTGATATGTGAGAAAAAAGAAGAGGGGAAAAAAAAAAGGATAAAAACTGAACTTTTTCCAAATGGGAATGACCCTTACCATGTTTTTAAAGCCTTATGCCAAAGGCAGCCTTTATTGGAATATGATCAGATAAAGTGCCA